AATTTTCACGGTGTTAAGTACCGTAAAATCACTGATTAAATAAATATTGTTCTAAAAATTACAGTATAATATTTTATGGTAAAAATCAATTTTATAGTAAAATGGATTTTATGGTAACATGGATTTTACAGATGATGCATTTATAGTACGGCACTTTTTACCGTAATTATAACGTAATTATTTACTCCGCAGTGCTCATTCTAAAAATGACGCAAAAAGTAAATATATGAGTAAAAGTCAGCCACATTGGCAATTTTTAAAAAAGTTTAATAACTCTTAAAATATTTTGTCCTCTTTAAAACTTAAATCATTTTTGGTACACTAATAATTTTAAATTATAGCTCCCCCCCCCCTGGTTAAAGAGCTTTGAAAAACAGGGTTAAAAATATTTAGATATCAAGTCTAAAGTCTGTAGTTCAGGTTGAAATTTTATAAAAAAATATTAGAATCACATTAAAATTTGCAAATATAGAGTTAGAATTAAAGAATATCCTAGAACTAATGAAAAATAACGCCACAAAATATTTTGAGACTTAGTAATATGATTTTTTAATTGCAAATGAGGTATATGTGTAAAAAATAAGCTCTTTCCATATTAATTATTAACTCATTAAGGCCCAATGACAAAACTTCTAATTATATTTTTTAACACGAAAAAAAAAAATTTTTAAATCTGATTAACGTGATTCAAATCAGATAATTTGATTTAAACGGATTTTATTTTTATTTTTTCAAGATATTAAAAGCACTTTTCTTTTTAATTTTATGAGCATAACTTGGGTTCGCTGATTTAAATCAGCTCGATTTAAATCAAGATTAAAACCGGGATTTAAATCATTCTGATTTAAAAAGAAAATCACTGACTTAAATGAGGAAAAAAAAAATTTTTTTTTAACATATAACTTCTAAACATTTTTGCGTAAATTTTAAGGTAACCTATCTTAACATTTATCTAAAATAAAATCTTTATTTATATGTTAACATATTTAAAAGAGGGGGTGCTGTTTTCAAATTGCTTCTGTTCCTTAGAGGAGTAATTTAGAGGAGTAATTCTCCCCTAAGTTCTGTTCAGATCTAACAAAATACCTTCTATCCCATTTATTCGAATTCAGTGGCATCAGAACTGTTCCTTACATTTACCATTATCAGAACTGCTTTTGGCAACATTAAAATAAATAAGTAAATAAAAACATGTAACTTTTTCCCCCTGAAACCACCAAGTGATAGGGCAACTATTTTTAATCCATATCGCAACTATTTTTAATCCATATCTATGTTTCTATTGTACATATTTTTAATTCATATATCTGAAGTAAAAATTTAAATGAATATGAAAAAAAAAAGAATTTAACTTAGCTTAGATGAAACATGTTAGTAAATTTCTTTACATTAATAATGGAATTTATGGCTGGGGAAAATCATTTCTTAATCTTTTTGAGGAAGGTGTTATACCTCAAACATTTCTCACAGAGTGGTGGAAGGCATGTTTTGAAATTCTAATTTTTGTGAAGCAACAGAGGAAAAAATAAGAGTTAAAGATTTCATGTAATTTAAAAGATTCCTTAATAAAAATATTCACTAAATAAAGTTGCTCGAAACTTTTCTGATTGAAAGAAGACATTTTAAAGTATTATTTGTACTGCTTTTTAAATGTTTGTTTCAATTCGTTGAATGGTCTTTGATTTAAGCTAGAGGGAAATTTAAATGTATAAAAAAGTAATTTTTCCTGAGTATTTCAAAATAATTTAACTGTTATAATGATTTATAAAACATATAGATCTGAACGATACTTAATCATAGCATTGACTTATTAAAGTTTAGTTCAATTTTATGTCCTTCTTAACTTATGACTCTTGCTTTTGTTCATTTTATGCATACAAAGTAAAAAAATTTCCTTTCAAATTACGATTAATAGTGCAGACGCTAAGAGCTCCGGTACTTTTTTACCGTAAAATGCATTTTCACCTGAACATGTTACAAAACAAAAAGAGTGATATGCAGTAATTTTCACAGTAATAATTACCGTAAAATTACTGAATCGCTCTCATTAAATAAAAATTACGGTGCAATATTTTAAGGTAAAAAAATGGATTTTACTGAAAAACAAATTTAAAGAATGATGCACCATAAGTGCTGATCCGTAATTAATTACCGTGATCCTGATTGATACTGATTTTTTTACAGTATTTGATAACCAAATATATGAGTTAAATGAATTAATGTATAAATGTTTTTTATTTCACTTATAAGGGTTTTAAATTTCAGATACCATCAGAAAATGATCTTTTTTACATAATTGAATTTATATTCAATAAATAATCAGGGCTGGGCAGTTGGACTCAACAAAAATTTTGCAGGATTTGGTATCTGCAAAATTTATGCAACTTCAATTCCAGTAAATAGATTAAAAGTTTAGTCCCGTAGGCTATAAGAATAAACGAAGCTTTTAAATATATGGAAATTATTTAGACTATTTACAACTAAAAATATAACTGAAATGATTATTGCGACAATTATTTAAATTATAACTTATCCTATTTGAATGTTTTTGAGTCTATGTTTGACTAAACCAGTGTTTCCCAAATTTATGACTTTTGTGTACCCTTTCTAAATTTTTCGTAACGCTGTGTACCACTAATAAAAAAATTAATGTATTTTTTACTAGAAAAAAAAATTGCACTAAAGTTAAAAGTCACAACTGGCTGTTGACACCACTAATTATTAACTTTTAACTCTGCAAAAAATAGCCAATGGAAAAATATGTAATCGTAAATTTTCATGACTTGCTTTGTTTTTAAAATTTTTTTTTTTGAAATTTTCGTTTGTTGCAAGATATTTCTCGTACCCCCGCTAACTGTTCCCTTACCCCTCTGGGTGCGCGTACCACACTTTGGGAAACGCTGAACTAAACTATTGAGAAAATACATAAATTTCAAAGGAAAATTTATTTAGCTAATTTCAAAAGTTAATGAAAAAGATATGCAAATGAATTATTCTACACATCATTTACAATAATTTCCTAGTTCTAGAATATTCTCTTCTAAAGAATCCTCTTATCATAACATGTTTGTAAATTTGCGAATTTGTTAGTATGCTCTTGATATCTAGCTCTTTTTCTTACAATTTCAATATTTATCACAAGTATATTTTGTAAAATTTATTTCTTCAACTCTCAGGCTACAGTATGACATGTTATTTTAAATAAAATACTATTAACTCTTAAGCATATTTAAATAGATATTAATATTTACGTAGTAAGAATATTTGCCAATGGTTTGTTGAAAATTTTAGTTGAGTATAAGTAGAACGTTTTAATTGTTAATTCCAGTGCTCAGTAAGTAACTTCTTTAAAAAAAATTATCCAAACACACAACGTAATTTAAAAAGAAAATTAAATTCATTCAACATTACTTTTTTCTTATTAAAACATTGAGTCACTACGTACTTTGTCCAATGGTGCTATAAAAAATAGTTTGCAGAAAGTCAAATTAGTTAAACTCGTTACATAAAAACGGATTAAATTAAACTGTAGGAAAAATTTGCCTGGTTTTTGCATTTAAAATTTTTTTAAAAATAATACAATGAGAAAAATACAGTTATTTACTTCATTTGAGTTTACTTCATTTATTAAATCGGCTATTTGTTTTGATTTTGCAATTGATTTAAATAATACAGTAAACATTCCGTGTGTCTTAATCTGCGAGCACAAGCGCCGATCTTTAACATTGCATGCATAATTCATTGAGCCATTAAAAAATTTAAATTTCAAAATTTTGAATATTTCTTCACAGTCTATACATATTCAAACCACCTGTTCAATGCCGTTCATAAACCCCGAGGATTTCTTTGTAATAACTGTCGTTTCATTGGCATAAAACTGCTCTTTAAGTTGAAATTATTCACTTAAAATACGTATACTAAAAAGAATTCCATTCGCTTACGCCATTTCCAACGTCCAAACATTTTTCTTATGATTGTATTAAGATCTATTAGTGAGCATAAAAATTTTGGTTTGTAATCATATTTTTCAAACATTATATAAAATAAAGGGTATATTGTTGTAATAAATTTGGTGAGTTTGTAGTGTAACTACCACTTTAAATATTGAATATCAATTCACTAGTATTTATCTTAAAAATGTAGAGTAATAAGGTGATATCATAAAATTACATTACATAAAAATGCAACTCTTATAGTTTTAAATAAAATTTGCGCATGCATCACATTGTGTATGAAGCTGATCGTTAAGTTTTTAATCATTTAACGAATCTCTTTAATTGTATTTTAAAGAAGTACCTTAAAATTTGCACCAAAAAATAACAATTGTATAGTGGTTAAAATGTTTAGACAGCGATTTAAATAAGTATATCTTAAAAATGTAGTTTAATAAGGTGATATCATAAAATTACGTTAGATAAAAAAGCAACTCTGATAGTTTTAAATAAAATTTGAGCATGCATCACATTGTGTATGAAGCTGATCGTTAAGTTTTTAATCATTTAACGAATCTCTTTAATTGTATTTTAAAGAATTACCTTAAAATTTGCACCAAAAAATAACAATTGTATAGTGGTTAAAATGTTTAGACAGTGATTTAAATAAGTATATTTTAAAAATGTAACGTAATAAGGTGATATTATAAAATTACGTTATATAAAAAAACAACTCTTATAGTTTTGAACTCTTATTTTAGAAAACTGTCAAAATCAAAAACGTATTAATAGCTTAGTAGAAAAAGAAAATAAATAATACATTAAATAACTAAATTAGGGATACAGACGTATTTGCAGATAAACAATACCTTAATGATTATATGCTGATGACAACCAAAAAAATATGGAAACGAATGCGGTAAGTGTGGTTTTTCGGTCAATAAAAATGCACCGACGACAATGATAAACAGTGTTAAACTTAAACAATTTTTTTAAAAAATATTATACAGAGAAATTATTAAATTACAAACATTATACATGCAAATTCAGACATAAAAAAGTACTCACCAAAAAAATGAAAAAGATTTTTTTTCCGAAACTGAGTAAGTTATCCTATAAAAGTGGGGATCATACTGCAGACGACAAGGGTTCTAAAGAGGTCGGGGGTGATTCCGAACTCCGATTGGGGAAGGGATGTACTGCCATGCTTTAATTAGAAAATAGTCTCCAATGTCAAGAACTGCTAGTCCCTTTCTCTATGCGACATCTGTTTGGGTTGTGGAACGAAAGAGCCGGGAGAATATTTTCTTTGAATTTCCGCTCTTCTGAAAGGTTGCTTTAGCAAATGGTGCCATCGGAGATTAATCGCCAACAATTTCATTCTCGTTTTCGCCAAAAAGGATTTGATCAGACAGGAATTCTGTTTATAAACAAGAGAGAGAATCGTGGGATTTACGGTAATGTGCGAAGCTTATCTCAACCAAAGCTGCATATTTTCGTAGAAAGAAAGATGAATTGGTTGTTTTGTTCTTTAAAATTTATTTCTAAATGGGATAAGCTGATAAAGGGCAAAGGAAACAAAACTTTTGATTAATAATTCTTTCTTCGTCTAGTTTTTTGTTCTTTCTTTTTTTTATTTAATGATCGACAAAAAAGAAATTGCTATTTTGTACTTCAATTGCTGAATTATCTCTCGAGATTTTTTAAAATTAAATTAGCGGAACAAAGCAATGTAATTAAGTGCAGATATTTGTTCGTTTATATAGATATATATGTATAAAATACAGGGTTTTCCTCAAAAATCGCTCTTAATATGCATTTTTAGAATTCTAATAATAAATTAAATTAAAATAGTACAGATGTTTTGGTAACGCAAATAAATATTTAACAAACACGATATTAAAATATGTCGTAACAAGACTGCAGAACAGTGGTTTCCTGAATTGTCGACCTTCTTTTGACCGAATCCCAAGACTTAATGAATAAATTTCATTAGCAATTGCAAATATACTAATTAACGAAAGACTTGTAATGATTTTAATTCTTTTATTTATTTTAAAAATATTAAGTGAATAAATAAAAAAATTTTATCACATCGTTTTATTATTATTAGTCTTAAAATGGGTTTTATCTAAGTACCGACGTTGTAAATTAAATAGTACAGATGGGTACAATAGTTAAAATAGTTCAGACGAGTACAGTAATTAAAATAGTACAGATGTTGGGATGACTCAAATAAATATTTAACAAAAATACTATTAAAATGTGTCGTAACAAGACTGTAAAACAGTGGTTCCCAATGGCTGTGATTCCCTAAATGGTCAACCTTCTTTTGACCAAATACCAAGACTTAATGAATAAATTTCATTAGTAATGTAAACATACTAATTAATGAAAGACATGCAATATTTAAATTGTTTTTATCATTTTAAAAATATTAATTGAATGAATGAAATTTTTTCATCGTGTCGTGTTATTATTATTAGTCTTAAAATGGATTTTATCTCAGACAATTGAAGTCTAGAGTGGCATCCATAATCTAGTTCTTAATTAAAATTTACTGCATGCATAAACTGAAAAATGAATGAGATGAAATATAATTCTCATTGAAAAAAAAAACTAAAAAGGAAGAAAATGAATGTTTAGAATGATTTTCTTTTAGAAAAACATACTTCTTTACTGTTGAATTTAGTTGTTTTTATTCCATGCGAAATACTAAAGAAATTTTTCACAAATGCATAGATCCTTTTCTTCATTCACTCATTATATTGTTAATAGAAAAAAAACATTTTTTTTTTATATTTCTATTATTATTTCTTTTCTATTTCTATTAAAAACATTTCTTTGTGCAGAAGTATTTCAATTAAATCCTTTCATAAAAATAACGGAAATATTAAATAAATGAAGTATTATTATTTGAATTTAAATTTAATTGCGAGCTTCGAAAATAATAACTGGTTCAAAAAAAGTACTCTACTCTCGGAGCCTTTGTAAGCTGTGAGCATTTAGGAACCGCTGCAGTCGAAGGTAAAATGGAAAAATATCAAATATTGTTGAATTGTTCGGATAAAACCGTACTTATTTTACGACGTTCAATTTCTTGTACTATAAAATAGGTAAGATAACAGATTTTCTTTAAACGATGCAAAAACACTTTTACTCGAGCTCTGTATTTTATATAAACTTGTATATAAAATAATTAGGGGGTGTATTTTCGTAGGGGGTCGTGAATCACCTTTCGTTCCAGGGAGCCGGGAAAAAAAAGTAGTTTTAAAGATGCTCTCGAAGTAATTTTCTTCAAAATAGAAAAAAAAACTTAGTCTTAGTTGCATTATTGGAATGAACAGTTTAGATAGGATATTATAATAGGTGTTAAAATTGCATCGAATTATTAAAAATAGAAAGCAGTATTTTATGTATCGGTCGTTCTAATGGAAGAGCCACTGTAAAGGGACTTCATTTTGGTCGTTCTAATCGAAAGTCGTAATAAGGAGCGTAGACTGAATTAGAAGTATACATGGATTATTGTACTGGTCAACACAGTTGTTCAATAAAAGCAAAATCAAAACGCGTACTGAACTGCATAAGAAACTAATATCCAGCCGTGCTGATAAACCACGTAAGTATAGCAGGTTAATCTTCCTATTTTTCGGCCTTCATAAAGATTGTTTCGCCAACAAATTACAGAAAGAAAAAAAATTAAAATCTGCTTTTGAGGATTTTTTCATTTGTCAAAATATGTACATATTTTTATGACTAAGAGTTAATTTAATGACTATGATTCATTTATTATTCCAACTATCAATTCAAATATAATTACTGCCTCATGTTGAACATCAAATGGTTCTTTATAAGGGTTCATAACTAATAAAGAAATGCGCAATTTTCAAAAGAACATCTTTTAAACCATAACTAACACCTGACACTGCAATTTAGAATAATTATCCCCATTCAATTCGAAAGATTACGACATCAATAATACTTGCAAGCCATAAATTTGAAAAGAAAGTAGACAAGTAAGTACATATAACTAAAACTAACATTTTAAAGATTAGAGTGGAAGTTATATATTAAATTTTACTAACACAATGGGGACTTGATAGTCCTTACAAAGGACAAGTTTTAAATAAGCTAATTGACGACCTTCAAAACATTTCTCTTTAAATCAGTTCCGCTTGAATTATGGTAGACAAAGTCCCTCAGTGATAACTGCATCTTTATAAGACTAGCTGTTGAAACCAACTTGTATATGCAAATACGTATATTTCTTTTTAATTTTGAAAGAAGAGGCTTAAAATTAAAGAAGACTTAATTTTCGTGGAAAGCAGCTCAATTTATTTTCGGAAATTTTACTTGCGAGGAAAAAAACATTTCTTATCAATGAACTTTGACAAATATTTGGCTGTTTTGTTAAGGAAAACATTAACTCAGATCATTGATTGTTTCACACGTTAATTGAAAACAAATAAAAAGTTAGATAAACTATATATTTTTTTCTTATAATGTACTTTTATTTTATTTTATGACCGCCGTTGAACAGTCGACCCAATTTTTGGGTTTACGACTACTAATGTTCAACGCCGTAGCCTTGTAATTTTGAACCAATCCAGAAGACAAGGAAACTCCTGGATCGGTACCCCCAGAGGTATTGATATTTTTATAATGTAGTTGACGTTTTTTAGTTCCAAAGACTGATTTTTTTCACCTTTAAATCGATATTAAAATAAATTTTTGTGTGCCTAATTTTTAAACACGTTTTGGATTAACTCGTGGGTATGCTAGGGCGTGGGTCAAATTTTGCAATCAAAATACGGAAAACTTGCCGAAATGTTTAAGAGCTCAAATTTCATAAGAAGACAAGTTTCAACAGTTTTCCAACGACTGCAAACAGAATTAATAGCCATTTTAATCGCGAAAGAAAATTTATCATCAAATTTCAAACCACTTTTTCTGACTAATTAGAGTGTTCGCATCTTTACTGGAGTTTGAGCCATATGGCAATAATAGTTTGAATCATTCGCTGATTTCTCTACTAGTGAAATTTATTGACATATTATCCCCATAGGAAATTTATCGTAAATGAAATTCTAACATTCCGATAGACTGCAATGTTCGAAATTTAATTGGAGTTCTCGATTGAATAAAATAACAAGTTATAATTTTCATGCCACTAAAAGCAGAACTCATTGCCGTATTATCATAAAATGGGAAGAAAATAAAAAAATTATTGACAATTAAACCATTTTTTGACAAAAGCAAACTAATAGATATAAAGTTATAAAGCAAAAATAAGTAAAATAATAAAAGAAAATTAAAATAAATTGAAGCGCATGGCTTTGAAATAGCTCTGTACATTTACAAACATTTTACAGGAAACTCAAAAGCAAAAAAAAAAAAAAAAAAATTCTCTTTGGCGGTTGAAAAAGTATAAATATTTTAGTACATGTTGGAAAAACTGAGGTCTAGACTAATTTTATCCGTAAAAACATCGTAAATTTCAACTGAAAAATTAATAATAATACTAATAAAGGAACCTATTGATATTTGATTATCGTAATGCAGTCCTACTTTGTTTTTGTTCAATTTGATAAATATTTTAGTATATGTTGGAAAAACTGAGGTCTATCATTGCCGTTCGACTAATTTTATCCTTAAAAACATCTTAAATCTCAACTGAAAAAAAAAATGATAATAAAACTAATAAAGTAACCTATTGATATTTGATGATCGTAATGCAGTCCTACTTTGTTTTTGTTCAATTTGATAAATATTTTTGGAAAAACTGAGGTCTATGATTGCCGTTAGACTAATTTTATCCTTAAAAACATCTTAAATCTCAACTGAAAAAAAAAGATAATAAAGCTAATAAAGTAACCTATTGATATTTGATGATCGTAATGCAGTCCTACTTTGTTTTTGTTCAATTTGATAATAAAAAACTGCATGCACTATACAGGGCATACCATAAAGACCGTTCTAAATATGTATCCTTTAAGAAACGAAAACGTAAAGAATACGCATGGGGTCGTAAATTAATATTTAGGGGAGGAAAAAACAAAAATGTGGACAAATTAAAGTAGAAGAAAGCTGGGGTAATTAATATCAAAACAAGTTTAATTGCAGTTTTGGAAATTGATAGAGTTTCTAGTAATCGTTTTTAGCTCTCTTTTTGTTTTCGCTCGCTATCAATCCTGCCGTGTTTATTACGTCTGTTTTTCTATACTGCACAGAGAAAAAAATACTGGTAAAATTACCATACTTGTATAGTAATAACATTTCTGTTAAGAAAAAGAAGAAAAAACCCGACAATTTT